TCCGACGGCTCCGGGGACGAGGACTCAGCCGGCGATTGAGAATGAGTATTTGCCTCCTCGCCGGCGGTGAAAAACTGGTCGGTGGAATGGGTTCGGTTTTTTTTTTAGATGATTCTTTTTGTAAAAGATTTAGCGGACCGATAATTTTTGTTGTACATTTGGATTTCAGATGATAAACAAAACAGGAACAAACAAAACAAACTGTTTTCGATTTTCTTCTTCCATTAATGGAAAACGCTTGATGGGTATTTCGTTTTGCTTTTTATTGTTTCTGTTTAAATCCAAACTTGGGAATTGCAGAGATTCGATCCCGTTTCTGAAGATCTGAAAATGGGAATTGGGAATTAAGTTTTGGAAATTGGGAAATTTTTATTGTTTCTAACTTTTTTGACAGCTCTGTTTTCCTTTTCTCTTTTGTCGGGAGGGACAAACCAACGCTTTGATTTGAAATAATTGAACGTTGCATTTCCACGTCTTGAAATCATTTCAAGCGTGGGAAAGAAGGGACTTTTTTTTTTTTTTTCCTTTTTTCATAATTAAATGCATCTTCTATATAAAAAATTAGATTTTCTACTACATAAATTTTGTTTATTTCGTTTTTGTACTACACCCTTCACTTTCTTCTTCTTCTTTTTTCCAACTTATATCTATATTTTCGATAAATTTTTGTTTGTCAACTTCGTTAATTTAACGTAGGTGTGATACGTTAACTATATTATCCATTATTTAAGGTGAATTTTGTGGAAAATTTGATTTTAGGCATTAGTAAAAGAATGAAGAGAGAGAGAGATTATGGACTTATTAAGCAAAAAATTTAAAGTTTAAAGACGTGTTAAATATACCACATAGAAAAAGGAAATTTGTTGATGGACAAGTCAAATTTTACTAATGAACTAGTTAGGTTTTATGTACTAAAATAACATTCCTGTCATATGTCAAAGTGTCTAAATATGTTAACAAGACACTTGAGATCGGAGGTTCAAACTCCTATATCCCAATTTATTGTACTCGAAGACAAAAACAATCAATAATTGAATGATAATATAAACTTTTTATTTAACAAGCTTTTAATGGAATGACCTAACTTAGAATTGTCCATACATTACTGATAAATTTTAAACTTTTTAAAGATTAAGAAGGAAATTTGAGAGTTACTTACAAGGAATTGGGGACCATGTTGCATATTTTCTCAGCAAACTAATAATGGTAACACCAAAACTTGAAAACAAAATGTTTCATGTCAGTTAATAACTAATCGCGTCGTCTTAATATATGTTGGGAAAAACCCTCTCACTCATATATTATAGGAATAAGTAAAAAATAACTTAAAAACAATAAAGAAACACGAGAATTCAAGTGTAAAACTGCACACTAGAGAAAAATCACAGCCCGAAGTCTTTTTCCAAACAAATTAAAAGAAAAAAAAACTCAAAGCTTTATATCACTTAGCTAGTGCCCAACTAGAATTTATATACCAAGCTTAAAAAGTTCACTGAAACCTAAAGCCGTGAAATGTCTTTTATAGCCCTCAAACCATTATTACATCACTTCATTATAATTTTCAGTTGTGGAAATTTTTGGTCTTTCTAATTAATTTTTGGTTAGAATATGGTTAATATACTTTCAACTTTAGTTCATTCTAGTCTATGTACTCTCAAAATGTTTATCTTGATCCTTTTACTTTCAACTTTAGTTTATTTTGGTCCCTATGCTTTCAAAATATTCATTTTGGTCTCTGTATTATTTTAAAAACTAACCATTTGAGTCTATTTATTTTATTTTTTAATCTCATTTTTTCTATCATAATTTCAACATGGCACTCCAGTCGATATTATTTATTATTGAAATGCAACTATGACTTTATATTAAAGAGTTTTCGTATGCGTAGAATTATATTTGTGTTAAAATTTTGAAAATATGGATCAAAATGGACACTTTTTGAAAGCATAGCGACCAAAATGAATATTTTGAAAGTAGAGGAACTACAATTAATCAAATTTGAAAGTATAGTGACCAAAATAAAAATTTTGAAAGTGTAGCTAGGAACCAAAATGAACCAAAACTGAAACTAACCGGTATTATGAATAGTATTTTTAACATTAATATTTTGCCAAAAATGTCGCAACAATATATTTCCTATTAAGTCAATGATGGTTAAAGACAATGGTACCCAAGTAATCTCCACAATGATATGATATTTTGTCCGTTTTGGGCATAGCCCTCAAGCCTTTGTTTTTGGTTTCACCCAAAAGCTTCATACTATAATTGTCCTCTATTATATACCATGATCGTTCCCTTCTACTTTGTTTGCATTCACCTTACAAACCCAACCATGATCCCTACTTTCTTGTTAATATATTTTCTAGTGCTGCTAAGTGTAGAAATATTTCTTCGTATTATCTGCTCTTGTAACCCTAATCTAATGTCGTCGTACATTTTGGATAGCAGTGTACTCAACTCATCCCTTTTATTGTTGGAATGAAATTGTGAGCATAAGAGAAGTTCTTCCTCCTGCTGCCGTCTTTCTTCTGTTTTTAGCTTATTGATCAATGTTTCTCCTACGATATAATATTGCCCTTAGAAGTAATTACATGCTACTAAATATATACTAATAGTCATTGGATTGAAGATATTATTTTCATGAATTCTCCACCAAAATGGAATTGAAGCGATTTTACAATAATTTTGACCTCAACATCGTCTACGGTGAGAAAAATAGAAAAATAAATAAGGTCTCGGTTCATAACTATTCTTTTTTCACTAAATTTACAACCATTGCCCATTCCTTTTATCTTGTTACCGTAAAAACTTTTTCAAAATCTAGACCAAGATTTGAAGAATAATAAATTTGATTCTAGAAACTTGTTTTTTATTTTAAAACTTGTCTAATGTGTTACGAAAAAAAGTGAAAAAATACTAAAATATTGAAAAAAAACAAGTATGTTTTTTAAAAGTAGAAAACTAAAAACAAAATTAAGTCAAAATAACTAGAAGAATAAACCAAATAATGGAATAGACTTAATAGTTAATAGCTAAATAAAGGCTAAGCTTTGATATGAGTGTAATAAAAACCATAGGTGGCCACGTTGTTTCTTGGTATTTAAAGTGGCTATAAGAATTAAGGGTTTAAATGAATGATTCAACTACCTGCCTACATTTCATAACAGAAAAAAATAAATAAAAAAATAAATAATCATTCTACACCCATTTTATACCTTTTCTACTAATTTCATCATAATTCAACACCATTAAATCGAATATTGGAGTCTCTAGTGTCACACTTGTTTTATTTTCTTACTAACATAATGCCTCTTTTTTATCGTTGGATCACTATGAGAAATCAAAGAATAAAGTGAATATATAAGATTGATTTATCCCTAACCTTCGACTTTGAATAAATGAGTTAGAGTGCCTTGATCGCCGAGCTAGACTTATGTTGACAAATACATTGGAACTTGACTAGTAGTATTCATCATTACATTGTAAAGCATATGTAACAACTGAAAATAATTAATAATTATTTCGTAAATAAAATAAATTAGTAATTTCTAGACATTTATCAATAATTTATTATAATAAAATAATATTATGTTAAATAGAATATAACCTTAAATTAGCTCAAATCCATTATTCGCAAAAAAGAATAAACTAACCAGGGAACATCTATCAATTTCATAATGATAATTATTTCAATATTAAACTTCTATTATATATAACATCTCTAAATGATATAGCTAATTAATTCTATTATTGATAAACGTAAATGGGTGAGCTACGAGGTTAAAATAAGAATTATGTAAAAATGTCTAAATAATTGTGCGAAAAATTTAAGAGTGTGGTATTTGAAAAATCATAGCTCTGCTGCTATATTTACAAATAGCAACGTGAATTACATCCATCGAAATTTCTAAAAAATATTCATAAATACAAATAAACAAAATCAAAACATTGGGGGAGGGAGAAGGTAAAGTTTGGTGCTTTCTAGAATTATTTGAACTGAATTTGGGTTTAAACTACACTATTGGGCCTTTCATTGGGCTGGGCTGCATGTTAATGTCAGTTTCAAAAGCCATTCTGTCCAAAGTCAGAGCCCAATAACTACAAAAGCTTATTTAGATTTTACTACTAAACCCTTGTTTAAAAGATAATACATGCCTAAATTAACGACTAGTTTTATAAAATTTCTAAAATTGCAAAAAATTTTAAACATTTACCATAAATTGACCATGTACCATAATTTAAATGGTTAAATGAAAAGAAGGGTCTTACTAAATTCAATATATGTTTTAAAACGACTAGTTTTGTAAAATTTCCAAAATTAAAAAATTTTGTGAACACCTGCCATAAATTGACCATGTACGACAATTTAAGCTAACCACCAATGATTTCACAATCGATTGATATAAACGTTATAGAAGGAAATTTTTTTTTCTTATTCTATTTTCTTTAAACCGCAAATTTAATCCCTAAAGTTTTGACAATTCAATCAGTCTTACAAAATTTTTCTAAATTGGTTAAAGTTCACCTATCCTATTTTTTTTATCGATGAATCAACGTAAAATATTAGTTCATTGGCGCATAAAAAAGCGTCACGACAGAGACGATTTACGAAGTGTGATTATAAGATAAAGGACGAAATTGAAATTAAGTCGGAATTTGTGATTAATTTAGGAAAAATAGAGTTGTTAGAAAAGGGTATTATAGGTAGAGTTGGGTTGGGCCTGTTGTGGGCCGAATAGCCCAAAACGAGGGGCAGTAGATAGATAGAGTCGTAGATTAGATTTCCCGGGAAAAAGCTGATAGCTTTTACCTAAGATTTGCCGGGAACTCTCTCTCACAGCTAAGCTGTTAAAAAAAAAGGGAAAAAAAAATTGTCTCTCCATCTCCGGGCGTCTATTACAAGGCTTCTCCTTCTCCTTTTACTATGCTGCTCTCCTAGTCTTTCTCTCTCTTCATCTTTATCTCTCTCTCTCTGCCCCCATTTTTCCAGATCTCTTCCATTGATCCTCCAATGGAAGATCAAGCACTTCCCCAGCAGACCCATCAATCATCTCTCAGAACTTCCCCTTCTTCTTCTTCCTCTTCCAATTCCATCCTCAATTTGCCCCCTTCAATGTCCCGCTCCTCACACTCACTGGAAACCCTAACCCCATCCCGTCAAATCGACCGCATGATCAACATCAATCATCATTTGTCGCCCTCCAGAGCTATCTACTCCGATAGGTTCATACCCAGTAGATCCGGCTCCAATTTTGCCCTCCTATTTGATATTTCCCCTGTCCCCAATTCCCACTCTGAGGGTCGGGAAGATAGTTCCAGTGCTTACGCCACGCTTCTCCGGACCGCCCTCTTTGGCCCCGATGCCGGAGTTGTCCCTCCGGCCACTCCGGAGAAGAGGAGCTCCCCAATGTGCCTACCCAATCACAATATTTTTCGCTACAAGACCGAGACGCGGAGGTCAATGCACTCCCTCTCCCCTTTTGGGTTCGACGATGCAGCTCCTGGAGTTAACCCTAGCCCCGTTAAGACTCCACGCAAGGTTCCACGATCGCCTTATAAGGTTAATTTCTTTTACACAGATTTAGGAATTTGGGTTCGATCGGTCTTCGAATTTTGTAAACCCTTTCCTCTCCCCTCTGCATTGTTAGGTCTTGGACGCACCTGCTCTGCAAGATGATTTTTATCTGAATCTCGTGGACTGGTCTTCGCATAATGTGCTGGCTGTGGGGCTGGGTAATTGTGTTTATCTCTGGAATGCTTGTAGTAGTAAGGTAGCCCTCTGCCTCCCCTTTGATTTTTTGTTTCCCCTTTGTGGTTTTCTGGATCGCAAATTGAATGCGTTTTTACATTATTATAATTAGAAAGAATAATTTATGTTTTTACATTATATAAATTGTGGGTGTGTAGTTATTGAGAAGCATTCTATTTGCAGGTCACCAAGTTGTGTGACTTGGGAATTGATGACAGTGTGTGTTCAGTAGGCTGGGCACAGCGTGGAACTCATCTTGCTGTTGGGACTAGCAATGGAAAAGTCCAGGTAAGTGATGATTAGTTTAACTCTATTTATGTTCAGGCTTCGGAACTTCAATTCAGTCCTTTTTTCCTCCAGCTCTTGTGGAAGTTTAATTTCTTGAGATTTGCGTAACTGAGATTCCGATGGATACAATTATGTTCCTGCTTCCTGTGTTGATTAAACCAATGCCCTAACCATCATCTCTCTAGATTTGGGATGCATCACGCTGTAAAAGGGTAAGGACTATGGAGGGCCATCGATTACGAGTTGGGGCCTTAGCTTGGAGCTCATCCATTTTATCTTCTGGTAGCCGGGACAAAAGTATTCTTCAAAGAGATATTCGAGCTCAGGATGATTTTGTGACTAAACTATCTGGCCATAAATCAGAGGTGAGGCTCACAGACATCTTATATCTACCTGCCTACTACTGAACTTCAGGGTCAAATCTTCAGGGCATTAGTACACATCAAACGGTTTCTTCTTAGGGCTATTATCCTCTGTCAATTTGTCTGTATTTCTCTTGTTTTTTACCTATTTCTTAGCCATAGAGTACAATTGTTCTGTTGTAGGTTTGTGGATTGAAATGGTCATACGATAACCGTGAATTGGCATCGGGCGGAAATGATAACAGAGTATGTTCTAATGTTTTTTTTCCCATCTTTTATCACAGTTTTTCTTTCTCCTGCCATGATGACTGATATTTATTCTTATCTGCTTGCTAGTTATTTGTTTGGAATCAACATTCAACGCAACCTGTGCTTAAATTTTATGAGCACACTGCTGCTGTAAAAGCCATTGCATGGTCTCCTCATCTTCACGGACTACTCGCATCAGGGGGTGGAACTGCAGACCGATGTATACGTTTTTGGAACACAACAACTAATACACACTTGAGCTGCATGGACACTGGAAGTCAGGTGATTATTTTCTTATTTCTTTGCTTCTGTAACATTTCTTTCCATATAATGTCCTGTGATTCAAGCATAGAATAGAAGGAATCTTTGATGCCAATCCCAGCTCTGGTAATTCAAGTATTGCTTGTTTGTAATGCGGATCTAATGCCGGCATAACTAAGAATTTTCCTTGATTATTGACTTTTTGCTAATATTTATCTTATTAGAGCGAGTATTTTTGGAGTAAAAAAGGGCAGGTTGGATGCTCTTGTATTTCTATTATTCCCAACCTGGCATTTCCTGTTTTTTTCCATCAAAATAATAACATTGTGATCGTGGGTAGTTCACATGTCTGCTATCAAGACTTGTCTTAATTTCCTTGGACCTTTTTTATTCTGAAATTTGGATTTATCATTTAAGAACCTACATGGGATATATTCAACCCGTGGAATAATTTTCAGCTGGTCATCTTTCAAGGTCAAAGTTAAGATAAACTGTCTTTGTTTTTATGTGACAGGTGTGCAATCTGGCATGGTCTAAGAATGTCAATGAACTTGTTAGTACTCATGGATTCTCCCAAAACCAAATAATAGTTTGGAGATATCCAACTATGTCTAAGGTCCGTTTGTTTCTTTTTTTTCTCGACTATAATCATATTCTGCTGTTTCCCGTCTAAATTTAAATTTTGCCCTCGTGCAGTTGGCAACATTGACTGGCCATACCTTTAGAGTTCTTTATCTTGCCATATCTCCCGATGGACAGGTAGCTTATATACTTGCTTTGTTTCCCAATCGCTATCGCAACATTTTTAACTGTATGAGAAAAAAAGTAACCAATTTGTTTTTACTTGTTTTTTTATCCAATTTTTTCCCCTTGCAGACTATTGTAACAGGTGCTGGCGATGAAACACTCAGATTCTGGAATGTCTTCCCTTCACCTAAATCGCAGGTAAATTAATAAATCCATTTGCGTATGATTCAAAATACATGTGATTTCTTCTGTCTCTTCAATGTAGTCTAGTTAGTCGACACCGCTTTCTGGATCAGATCAAGATAAGTTATAGTTAGACAAAATCAAGAGCTGCCACTGAGCTGTATTTGAACATTTTTCTGCATTTTAAAATGACATCTTTGCACATGATTTGAAACTATATAACACATGTTTGTCTGACATCTTGTTCTTGAGATCCTTATAGAGAGTACTCGATCTTCTGTTCCATTTCTTTGTCAAAACTCACACTCATATTGTGGGTTTACATTACAATGCAGAACACCGACAACGAAATCGGAGCATCCTTTCTCGGACGCACCACCATCCGTTAACCGTCAAAGAACTGAACTCTTCGCCATATCAGCTCTTAACACACCCTTTTCAACTTTATTGCACCATCTTTTTTGAGGAATAATGACAAGGATTTTGTCGCTGGTTTAGAAAGATTCAATGTGAACAACTTTAACCAATCTGGTCTGCATTAGCCAAAGCAAAGCTACATGAGATCTGAGCAAAAAGCTGTAGATGAAAAAGGAAATGAAGTGATGGATTTTCCATAGTCTCACACGGAGGAGATGGTCTCAAATCTCCCTTATTTTCCTCCCCACTTCAATAGAAAAAAAATTATAGTAAGTAAATAATTACCCAATATTTTAATTATTACTTCCGTGACTTGTAAATTTATGAGAGGAGAGGATTTTTTATTCATATGATTCATTCATAGATATTTGGGGTATAATTCATGTACATATGTATTATTCTTTTCCATTATAGTTTGGTATCTGAAAAATTTTGATGATGGGATTGATAAACATTTAATATTATCTGAAACTTTTGAACTCTTCAGAGAAATACTCGGAAAAAAGGGTAGAAAATTTAAAGTAAAATAGTTGTCATAGGACTTTCGAGCCTTCTAATCTTTGTTTAACCGTTCCAGTTGTTTTGCTTCTCTGTACATAGAGCATTTTGATACTTTATTTCTTTAAAAAATTAAAAGTATCTTTGCATTTTTTTTTTCTTTTTTATAATATGAAGTTTATTGATTATGCCATTTTGTGTGAATGGTTAATATGTTTCAGTATGTATTTCTTTTTAAATGAGTAAAACTTAGTTTCTTTATTTTAATACCATAATTATCTTTCATCTTTGAAGTTTAATATTGCTGTGAGATCAAGCAAAATTTCCATGTTTGTTATATTACTTGAAGATTTGTTTTTATACTAAGAAAATAATTTTAGTTATAAAATATTATTATTATTATTATTTTTTTTTTTTTGACAAGTAAAACAAACTTGTTAAACTTTAGAAACCTATAACTGAGTGGTTGATAATTAGGACAAGAAATTTCTGTCTCATTGAAATTAATTTTAAAAAAAAACAGTATAAAATTGAAATATATCTAAAGGGGAAATAAAATTAAAAAAATACTACATACAATGTACGTGCTAGTAGTCAGTATAGAATATATAATCTACTCTTAGAAGTTGGGAATCAAATCTATGAAATAAAATACATCTTTCGAATAATTTTTCATATCACAATATCATAACTTGTTTCTATCTATAAAAATATATTAAACCTCCATTACAAGCCACGATCTTTCATTTTTTTTTTAAATTCAAGTATTTATTTATTTATTTTATTATTATTTTATCGATTGTCTTTCTCCAAAGTTCTTTAATGACAGCAACCAGCCAACCGAACCACCCATCCACTCCATATACTTTTTGGAGATTTTCACGTTTCATTCAGACATTTTTTCTATTTAAAAGTTCCATATGAATTCCACACACACACACACACACACACACAAAAAAAAAAGTTTTTTTCTTTCGCTTTCTTTGTCCCCTGTGTACATTGATGTTCTTTCGTGAACTTATGCTCAAGATTTGATAGAAAAAAATTCATATAATTCGTTCAATAATTCCCTTTTTGACAGGTCCCACATGAATTATTTTATCATATAGTCTTAAACAAAAATATAGATTATGATTCACTTTCTAACTCCAATAATTTATAACAAACAGACAAACCATTAATAAAAGTAGATTTAAAGGATTAATTTGTTTGCATTATAGCAGCCGTCCCTTTAAAAGGTTTCCAATGCACAACAAATCATTCTTTAAAAAGAAAAAAAAAACACTAAAATATAATATTCACCTCATTTTTTATACCCTTAAACCCTTCGATCTGATTCTTGTTCCTTAATTTACAAATCTCAATCGTCTCTATGAAGGCATTAAAAACGATAGACCATACCAACATTTCACCGTGCTATATCAACTTTTTTATTGTACCACTGAAATTAACAAATTAAATATAAGTGCTAAGAATCTTAAATTAACACAAGTAAAGGTAAATAAATATAAGGTATTTACATTTTTGACCCCCAGAAGGCAGAGCCAAATTGAGGTGCTCTAACTAGTCTGCTCCAATTCATTTTTGGGGGACCATGAAATGGAAGTGATGGCAGGGAAGCAACAGGAGCAGTCTTCTTGGCAGGGTTTGGGCCAATCGAGGCGGCCCAAATCCCAGGTGGGCTCGTCTGGTTTAGGCCCATTTGAAGGTGGGGCTGGATCCTTAAGTGGGCCCCAGCATTCTACTTTGTTGAATTCTGGAATTTTCGAGTGGAAGTAAACCCACACTAAAGACTCCTGTAATTCTGGGTAATTGTTGAACAAATCCACATCTCCATGAACAAACGCATTCAGCACCTGTCATTTCTCACGTGTCAATTAACAAAACAACTATTCAAATATATAAATTAACTAATAATCATTTATTTGTTTTATTTTTTATTTTTTCATATTAGTTTAAATATTATTTCGATCTTTATAATTTCAAATTTGGTTATTTTACTTTCAAAATGTCTTTTTTAGTCTCTATTTTAATATTATTACAAATTTATGGTTACGTTTCAAAAAAATTAGTATGGAGTGTCATGCAAAAATTGTGACAAAAAAAAGAGATAAATTATATTTAATGTCCCAAACCAAACATCTCGAAAGTACGACTAAACGAGAATAATGAAAATAAATATTTTTAAAGTATACGAATCAAAATCAAGGATAAAGAAGCAAAATAATATCTTGACTATAAAGCATAAAGGTTATGTTTTCTTTTTCATAACTACCCTCACCTAATCTATACTTAAACTAAACTTTGGTTGGTCATTAAAGTCCCGTTTATTGTTTCTTATCTTAAGTATTTGATAATTATTTAGGTTTCTTGTTTCTAATTTTTTAGAAACATTATCAAAATTATATAGAAATTTTAAAACAACAAAAACAATATTTTTGTTTCTTGTTACCAAACGGATCCTAAACCCTAATATGCTTTTATTGATTTAAAGTCAAACCAATAAATTATCAACAAAAAACGAAGGAAAAGATTTCCAGAATGCAATTGGGTTTCCTAACACTCAAATAATTTCAGCATTTACGGTTCGAAAAATAAAATTAATTTCAGCATTTATGTCTATATTAAATAACATTTTATCTTCAGCCTGAACTACTGTGGATGAAGACATAAGTCAAAAATTGAAATATCACAATCACATTATATTAATAATGTATTCTAAAAACGATTGTAACAATAACATCACACCCACTAAGAGAAATTTTGAAAAGTAGATAAATCGTCGTACGATAACATGTTTCAGAAAATAACATTAAAATTTTGAAGAAAATTAAGATGGGTTATATTTAAAAGATGTATTATCGTACAAACTTTGACAAAAAAATAAAAAGAATTAAAACTTCAAAGAACAAAGAAAGAGAGTTGTTAAACCCATTTTGATTTTCTTTTATTGTTGTAACAAAAATAGAGAAAGAAAAAAAGTGAAATAATTACCAGAATAACAATTTGATTTCCTTTTTAGAAAAACAACAAACAAATATATAGTTCACAATATATGTTACTAAACAAGCTACCATTAGAATTTTACCATTTAATTCATGATTACAAAAATTACCTTGTCACTCCAGATGGGAAGGAACAAACTATAGACATTGGATCGAGACATGGGGGATTTTTCAGTTTTAGAGGAAAGTCTGATGGAATTAAATTACAAGTTTCACTCCAAAACTAACAAGAATCTATTTCAAAGTCTTATTGAGAAGCAGAACACAAAATAAAAAATTCAGAAACATTTTTGAAGAGTTAAAAGAAGGTACCGACAGAATATGGAAATTTACCACAGGGAGTTCTTTGCGGAAGATGAAGTATCTGAGATTGGGCCAAAGATCCAACAGAAAATGGCCACCACTGATATGGCAATGAACATGAAGAGACATTTTTCCCTTCACTTTCTTCCACTCTGCCACCACTTCATCTCTTTGAAGCCAATTGTACCATCCTTGCAACTGCAAATTCAAAATCGAAATTCAAATCAGACCCATGTCTCTGTTTTTGGGAGAGAAACAGAACAAATAAATTAGAAACCTGAGAGTTGTTAATGGTGTGAGAAACAGCGAGGGTGAGCTTGGAGGTTATGTCGCTGTGGGTAAGAGTGTAGGTTCTGGGGAATTTTCCAGGGTGCTTTTTCTCGTCCACCCCCAAAAACAGAACCTTCAGCTTCGAAGCTTCGAATATGGCCGGCCCAAATAGCCTCGCAACCTGATCGAGCAACACAAAACCCAAATCAATTCTGTTTTTTCCAAAATCAAAAGCTTCCTTAAAAATGAAAAGGAAAGAAGAAATTACAGGGACGAGAGCGCGGCTCTTCTTCTTGGATTTGCGAGTGGGAGGAAACAGGTGAGAGGAACCAGATTCATGCCTTAAATTTGGCGTTACAAGAAGAAGAGAAGTGGCTGTAAAAACCCCCATCTCTCTGTTTCTCCGTCTCTTCTACGATGAAACTCCAGATTTCTATATTTTGGGGGGGCTCGAATCGAACAAAAACGGGACTCGAATTTCCACTTTTGGGAGTCTCTGATATCTGGCTTCTACGAAACTAAAGGAAAAGAGAAGG